GGTGAAACCCCGTCTCTACTAAAATCACAGAAATTAGTCGGGCATGGTGGCATGTGCCTGTAGTCCCAGCTACTCGGGAGACTGAGGCAGAATTGCTTGAATCTGGAAGGTGGAGGTTGCGGTGAGCCAAGATCACGCCACTGCACTCTAGCCTGGACCACAGAGCGAGATTCCGTCTAAAAAAAAAATGGTGAGGAGCCAGTCCCACAAAGATGACTAAGGGGAAGGGCAGAAATTGCTTTGGAGAGATGGACTGTGAACCCGGAGGGCAGGAGAACTGGAACCTGACACTAACCCTAATCCAGGCATTTAGTCTGCAATGCTAGTTTGGAAAGAAGCAGATTATTCTTGGAAAATAAGTCTGGGTGTCCTAGCCCTTCACACAAGCTAAGCCAAAGAAATGCTGTCTAGAACAAAGAAATATTAAATATAGAACAAAGTCCAGGTCTAGGACTAGGGACGGTTCAGACGTTCAGACTGGATGGTATTTCCTTACTCTCATTTGAGTTTGGGAACCAGTTCCTGCAGAATTAATTTTTCAATGTTTCTTCAAAGAAGTCACGTGGGCAGTCTCTGGGTGCCTTTGTGCACAGAAAGATGGCGGAGCAGGTTCCTAAGTAGGTGCTGTTTGTGTGTCTGGGTAACATCTGTTGCCCACCCATTGCAGAAGCAGTTTTCAGGAAACCTGTAACTAACTGACAAAAATATTTCAGAGGGCTGGGCGCGGTGGTTCATGCCTGTAATCCCAGCACTTTGGGATAAGGTGGGTGGATCACCTGAGGTTTGGAGTTGGAGACCAGCCTGGCCAACATGGTGAAACCCTGTCTCTACTAAAAATACAAAAATTAGCTGGGTGTGGAGGCACATATCTGTAATCCAGCTACGTGGGATGCTGAGGCAGGAGAATCGCTTGAACCCGTGAGGTAGAGGTTGCAGTGAGTTAAGACTGAGCCAGTGCACTTCAGCCTGGGTGACAGAGAGAGACTCTGGCTCAAAAAAAGAAAAACCCAAAAAACATTTCAGGGAATTGGAGGGTAGATAGCATGATGACATCTGGATATGAGAAAGGGAATCCCCTGACTACGGAGGGCACAGCTGCATGAAGAGGCATGGCATTCTCAAGAGCCACGTTGCCTAGCAGAGATAGGAATAGAAAAAGCAATCAGGTTAAAAACTGAAAAGCTAAACCTGAACTGTTTGGGAGCTGTGATCCACAAAATCAACTCATTGAATGCAGATCCCTATTATGTGAATGGTTGCCTTTTGAGATGGTGTACCAGCAGTGCGTCAGGTGCTGCGGAACATTCTTGGAGGAAGCCCATCGAGGCTGGTTCTTGCCCTGTGGCAGCCAACCTGACTAGACCCCAGCCTTCGGCTCTGCATCTCTCAGTGAGCAAGCTAAAGTATGATAGTGTTCCACATAGCCCAACGTTCCAGCTCTTCCTTCAATGATTTACTGTTTCTTACCTTAAAAAATAAATGCAGATGAAAATCAGTTGTGTTTGGCAGAAACATAAAAACATTGATTCAGGAAGCTTCCTGGAGAATATTAAGTGTTTTTAGATTAGTTGAACCTCTCACTTGGCCCCAGTAACAAAAACAGTGGAACAAACAACAGAAAACAACAAAATAAAACACAGTGGAGTAAAACCTCCCTTGAAGGCCCAGGTCAACATGTAAGCCCACTAAGACTTAAGATAATCGAGTCTACCTCTTCAGTGGGTTTGATGATGGCTGGATGGAGAACAGGTACCGTCTGCTCCCTGCACTACCTTGATCTTTTTGCCCTAGGGCCTTTTATGGAGTGACAATAGCCCCACCCATAGGAGCTCACAAGTCTAGAATCGTTTTAATTCAGACACACACACACACATACACACACACTGTACACTTGTATATTTAAAAGACAGGGAAGAGACTGACTGGGCAGTTGGCTCACCCCTGTAATTCCAGTACTTTGGGAGGCTGAGGCAGGTATATCATTTGAGGCCAGGAGTTCAAGATCAGCCTGGCCAACATGGTGAAACCCTGTCTCTAATAAAAATACAAAAATTAGCTGGACGTGGTGGGCTGCACCTGTACTCCTAGCTACTCAAGAGGCTGAGGCGGGAGAATCACTTGAACCTGGGAGGCGGAGGCTGTAGTGAGTCAAGATCGGGCCACTGCATTCCAGTCTGGGTGAGAGTGAGAACCTGTCTCAAAAAAAAAAAAGAAAAAGAAAAAGGAAGAGATAAAAGATTTGGAATCGGTCTTTAGCACCCTTAATACTTCTTGATTTTTTGTCTAGTTTATTTCATGAGGAGGTCAGCTCATTTGCTCCCATATGAACCATGCTGCCTCTGAAACTTACTTATATCCAGAAAAGACACTTGTATGCTGGTTTATCTGTGGTCAGTTGTGGAATAGGTCTGTTTCCATGTGCACATGTAATCCAAATGTCAAATATAACTTGGCTTAGGTGGGAAAATAATTTAAAAAGTTGGAAAAAGTTCTATTATGTTGGCATGCTTAAATATTGATATGTTAAGTATTCTTTCATCAGCATTTCATATTTGCCAGCATATACAGGTATATTTTGAGGTAATTCTGTTAAATTCATATAGATGTATGTCAGAAAATATTGTTTTCAAAATAATCTGGGCTAGGCGTAGTGGCTTATGCCTATAATCCCAGCACTTTGGGAGGCCAAGGCAGTTGGGATGCTTGAGCTCAGGAGTCTGAGACAAGCCTGGGCAATATGGTGAAACCCCACCTCTACAAAAAACACAAAAATTAGCCAGGTGTGGTGGCAGATTCCTGTAGTCACAGCTACTCAGGAGGCTGAGGTGGGAGGATCACTTGAGCCCAGAAGGTCAAGGCTGCAGTGAGCAGTGATTGTCCCATAGTGATTGGCCACATGGATACTATGAAGAAAATCAAGAGCTAGGCTGGGCGTGGTGGCTCACACCTGTAATTGCAGCACTTTGGAAGGCCAAGGCAGGCAGATCGTGAGGTCAGGAGTTCAAAACCAGCCTTGCCAAGCTGGTGAAACCGTCTCTACTAAAAATACAAAAATTAACCGGGCGTGGTGCTGTGTGCCTGTAGTCACAGCTAAGCCAAAGAAATGCTGTATAGAACAAAGAAATACTAAGTATAGGACAAAGTCCAGATCAGAGCCTGCCTCAAAAATTTTAAAGGTTTAAAAAATCAAAATAAACTGGGTAGTTACAGAAATACAACTGAGATATAAAAAACAAAGAAATCATACACATGAATGACCAAGAAGCTGGCTAAAAGGGCAGATTCCCGGTTTCCACCCCTCCTAGAAAAGGCTCCAGATCATTTTGCAGCTTGCTCGGGCTTGAAAACCTCTGGATTCAACTGATGCCAACCCTGGAGGAACTTTAAGGCCATCTTTGTGCTTCTTAAAGCTTTCACAGCCATCCTCCAGCTTGGGAACTAACACAGTCTTACAGGGAACACCCAAGGGTGGAAGAAATACAAGTGGATCCCTCTAGCTGAAGATGGGGTCAGGGCCTCTGTGGCATAGCCTCCCCCGAGAGCTCAGAACCATCCATCAACCTGACCATCTCCATAGTAACAGACAGAGAAACGGAAGACCAAAGAGGGAAGGATTCGTCCATAGTGGAGTTGGTGCTCTTGGTAAATCCGTTGCCCTGTCTCTGAATCTCCAAAACCTAGAGCTTCCTGCCTTGCCTGGCCTTGGACATGGCAGGTGGTGGGCACTGCCCTCAGCCCCCGCCTTGGTGGTGCCAGATACACTCCTGGGTCCGGGCTGCAGCCTCAGGCCCTGAGCTCATCTTCCCATTCCTCCCCAAATTGGATAATCGAAAACATCTGCTCTTAGCAACTATCTCGGCCCCACAGTGACACCAGCTCTCTGAGGTGGTTCTCCTGCTGGAACCTGGGTGGGCAGAGGGCAATACAGAAGTCTCGAGTAAGACTCCCTTCAAGGAGTAGGAATCTGACATTTTTCATAGTAGCTGATGCTATATCCCATCAATTCTACATATGCATATTTTGACCTTCAACGTTCCTGAAATAAGAATGCAACATATAATCAATGGTATCTTGAAAACTGCCTCATGATTTAGTTTTTTAAAAAGGTCTTAGTACATAAAATAATAGTGCATCTTACAAAAAGTTGATCTTATGCTTGAAGAAATATAATAATTATCTCTTTTTTTGGAGGTACTGGTCTTGATATACATTATGTTATTTAATCCTCTTGAGAACCCCATGAGGTAAGGTCTGTTATCACACCCATTTTAACAGGTGAGAAGACCGAGGCTGAGAGAGAGGCTGGATCAACTGCCCTCTAACATCTGGTAAGTGATGTGATCATCAACTTTGTATGGCAGCTTGGCCAGGCTGTGGTGCCCACTATCTGGTCAATTACTAGTCTAGATTTGCTGTGAAGGTGTTTTTTAGATGTGATTAACATTTACAATCAGTTGACTTTAAGAAGAGCCTCCATGCTGCGGATGGGCCCCATCCAATTGGTAAAAGGTCGTAAGAGCAAAGATTGAGGTTACCTGGAGAATTTGCCTCAAGACTGTAATGCAGACACCATGCCTGGGTGCCCAGCCTGCGGGCCTGGCCTACAGATTTTTGAACTCTACTGCAACATCAACTCTTACTTGAATTTCCAGCCTGCTGGCATACCCCACAAATTTTAGACCTGCCAGCTTCCACGATCACGTGAGCCAATTCCTTAAAATAAATCTCTCTCCACGTATAGCCTATTGGTTCATTTCTTTGGAAAAACCCAGAGATGGTAGTGGAGCTGGGGTGTCAAAAGCCTTACACCCCGCCCCCTTTGCTGGCCTCTATGTGTCCAGGGAGGTCCAGCTGGACTCAGCTCCCCAGGACCCAGTCTTGCTGCTCCCCTCAATATTCCATCCCCTATCATGGGGAGATGCCCACCAGGGCTGATTTGAGAGAGGGAAAGAAGGGCTGGCCCAAGAGGGGATGGTTAGGACAAGAGGCGAGAGACCAAGAGCAGGTGACGTGTTTATTGCAGGATGCCTTTTTCTGGCGGCTGTCCTGGCTGTGAGGGAACCCTCACGATTCCCGAGCCCCAGAACAGACAGATAGAAGAACCTGAATCCAAACTGGCTGCACATAAATAGAGGGGAGGTTGGCAAGGGAAAAAAAGAAAAACAGCAAACGGACGTGCAGTCTCCTATGCCAGTGCGACACGGTGGCAGAGTCTTATCCATGCTCCGTCTCTTTTCTTACTGTTTCCACGCTGAGGTTTCCATCTGCTCTGGGAAGATTCGCCACCTTCGGATCTCACTCAGCAGCATGCAACTGCCTTCCTGGTGGCCCCCGCCACAGTCTCCAGGACTGGCAAGGGGCTAAGAAAACCAAGACAGGTTTTCCTCAGACAAACAAACAAACACAAATTGCTTCCACGGTCCTTTGCACCTCCCAGTTCTGATGGGTCAACGATGTGTCCCCCGACCCCAAATCAAACAAAAGAACATGCTGAGCACAAGCTGCAAGTCAGAATAAAAACATATTGCACACGGTTACAAGAGTCTTCCTGAGAGCCCTCTCGCTGTAGATCCCTAAGTACTGGCTTTTGGTCCAGCCAGCCGCTTGCCTATCAGTGGTGGTATCATGTGCCCATCTACATCCCACTCCGCAAATCCAGATGACACTAAGCAAATTTTCCACATTACCATCCTCTGCTGTCAGCCATACTCAAAGCCGAGACTGGGTTTAACTTTGTGCACTGTAAGTATGTGGTGGAGAGGAATGGGGATTCTTTAAATCTTTGTCTTCCTTTCAACAAGCTTCTCCCTCCCTGGGTAGTTATTAAAGCTATAGAGGTGAACACAGCCTCCAAGACGTGGAATCTTCTGGAACCGAGAGCTGGGAAAGTGGTTCTCTCCGACCATATGCTTTTGAAAAGGAAGCTCTGTTGTTACCTGCAGGGCCGTCAGAAGTTGGGTTCGAACTTGGGTTGGAACTTAACAGCCCTCATGTGGGACAGGCAGTGTGGCAATTACATTTGTTTTTTTCTCCAAGGAATTTTCAAGTATCACCAAATCCCTGATACAGTGTGTAAACAAGACAAATCTTATGGAACAGAAAGCGAGACCACTTCGGGAAGCAGCAGCACATGAAATATCTAAAAAGGCTGAAAATGCTAATTAGGTTTGAAAACAAAGGCAAGACAGCCAGCCACTGTGCATTGCAAGGCGAACACTCAGGAACAAACACAAACTCAGGCCCCTCTGCATGGAGCCAGGGAAAGAAAAGCACCCCATCCGGCATCTTCCAGGGGTCCTGAGAACATGTCAGGCTGCCCCTCCTTTTTCAGTGGTGTAGCTGCCACCAGCAAAGAGTAGAGAAGTCTTCAATGCTGAAAACTGGACATGCTTGAGATCAGTGGTCTGTGTCCAGTTCCCAGTCTCCTGGCCTCTTAGCAAGTCCTTCTCGATTCACTGGGCCCCTGCTTGGGAGGACAGCCACCAGGCCATCCTTCTGTACCCCAGCCACATGTGGTAGACATTTCTCAGAGGAATGCTATCGGATGAGGTATGTTACTGAATGTTTTGCTCTGGGTCAGTTTTACTTAGAAGGAGCACAGACCCTCCATGTTCAAAAGCAATGAGGCTCTTCAGGGATGGCCTCTGCTGCCTCACTTGTCTGAGCTCTCCTGTTTGGTGTCCTCTTCCTCTGCCCAGGTCTCCAAGGCTTCCTCGTGAGGAACAGAGGGGGCCTACCTATCAAAGCAGCCAGTGGGGAACATGTGGCTCCCACTGAAGTAGCTGCTTCCGTAGGTGGTGGCGAGGCAGTGCCTGGGCTCAGCTGCAATGGCCATCTGCATGCTAAGGGATGCAGGGACGGGCATGGGACACATATCCAGGGGCTGGAGGGTGGGGTATGGGGTATGGAGGGATAAGCTTGTGCTCCCTGAGAGCAAGCTTCCTGAATGGTGGGTCTGCAGTGAGTCCCGATAGGCCAAGCATAGGTCCTGCACGGGGGTCTGGAACTGTGCCAGGGTGGTAGCTGGCTGTCCAAGAGCTGGGTAGGCTGGTGGCTGGAATAGCACTTGGGTGGGGGTGGGGGGTGTGCCGGGCACCATCGCCAAGGCCTGGCTCTTGACGGCTACGGCATCCTTGAGGACGCTGTCATACGCTCTGAAACGAGAAGACCTGGGTGAGAACTGGAGGCCACAAGCCGCCAGATGCCTGTGTGCGCTTCTACCTGCCTTGCTAAGTGGGACTGGAAGAGATGTCTGTACTCTGTGTCCACCGGGCCTCACCTGGCCGTGCTCGCCGTGTGTGGCACGGCTCCAGCTGTTCACCAATTTGATTCAGGCCTTGGCTCTCAGCTTGGATCTGCTTCCTACAGAAAACTTCTGGTCCCTCCAGCCTAGGCTGGCTGTCCCTGCAGCCGCACACTGCCCCATCTCCACAGTCCACAACCCAGAGGGTAACCTGCTCCAGCAGGTAACTTCTAGTCACCCGGCTGCCGGGAGGATTGTGCCTGCTTGTGCTCACCAATACATTCCTTGCCCCCGGCACTGGAGTGTTCCTGGGGCCCAAATGAGCCCAATCTCTGCCTTTCAGGCAATTCTGGGTCAGCTCCATCTCCTCAGCAGGGTCACTCCTTAGCTAGCTGACACAAACGAAGTTGACCCCTGGGGCCTAGGATTTTTCATCTGAAAAGGGGCTAGAACTGAGATTTTTGCCATCTCAAAACAGCCTCCTGTATAGCTTTTTGGGAAAACAAAACAATTAGCGGCTTCTATGTAAGGCACACACCGACACTCAGACCAGGCTTTGTGGACCTTCTCACAAACACGAATTTTAAAACAAGGCCTGGGGAGCAGGACTGACTTTTCAGAGGAATGAGATACAGGCAGCCGCCAGCAAAGCTTCCCACATTGGGGAAGGTTCTCTTCAGGGGTAAGGGCTTCTGCTTTGTCCACACAGATCACAGGTCATTTAGGCCAACACCCAGGATATGCAGTGCCTAGCAGGTGGAGGAGGAACTGGACTGTGTGTAGCTGCTGGCAACAGCTCCCTGTAGTAACTATGGGGCACGTTTGCCTCCAATGTCAGTTTCAGGGTGTTGGGCCCCTGATGCCTTTAAGTATCTTCTCTGACACACTGAACATTTCCTCCCCAAGATTCCCAGGGACACTTGCAGAGGCTGTGGCACTTAGGTGAAGTCACTCAGAGTTTAGCTGGTTACAAGGTCAGCTTTGTGACCATGTCTGAGGAAAGTAGCTTATAATGGAAGCCCCTCAATGTGATTACCTGTAAGATTACACTGGGACTTAGATCAAATAGCCTAGATATTTAAAGGCGCAAACAGCCCTCTTCTTCCTTGCTGCCTGACTTTAAAAATGCAAACCCGAAGCTATCCAAAATAGGAAGAACTGATTCTGGAACCCCACTTCTATCAGGAGTCACCATGGCCCACTTTCCCTGAGACCTCGTAGCTGGAAGAACCACCACAAGCTCCAGACTCAGGAAACTGCCCGTGGCCTGAGGCAGGCCTCAAGGCAAGAGGAACTTCACTATTTCAGCCTAGAATAGTGTTTTCAAAATCACTATTTCAGAAACACGGGATTCAGGGGAGAAACTTACACCAGCAGAATTTCAATACACGTGCTGAGGTGTTCCAGGGAGTAGCTTGAGATCCTCTGCAGGTCTCTGGTCCAATAGGGAGAAAGCTGCAGGCAAATCCTGGAGGCCCCAACACAGGCTGCAGCGACCACAGAAGGCTGGAATTTGTAGAATATGTGATCTGAAAGAAAGCCATGGAGGGAGTCAGCATCCAAAGCCTCCCCTTGCAATCCCAGGCCCACCCTGAGAATGGATGGACAAATGAATCATTTGCAAGCCTGTTAATCACTGCCCTACAAATAGGATGGAAAATTAGAAACTGTGAAGTTCCATTTTTGAATCTTAACCTTGGCTCTCAATCTGGGATTTCTCTTTTGTTGAGACAGGTTCTCTCACTCTGTCGCCCAGGCTGGAGTGCACTGGGGCAATCGTGGCTCATCGCAGTCTCAACTTTTCGGGACCAAGAGATCCTACTACTTCGGCCTCTCGAGTAGCCGGGACTACAAGTGTGCACGACGAAACCTGGCCAATTTTTGTACTTTTTTGAAAGATAGAGTTTTAGCATGTAGCCCAGGCTGGTCTTGAACTCCTGAGCTCAAGCAATCCTCCCGCCTCAGCCTCCCAAAGTGCTGGGATTATAGGTGTGAGTCACTATGCTCAGACCAGTCTGGTATTTCTGATAGCAGCCTAGAACAGTGTTTTCAAAATATTGTCCATGGCTCCCAGGGGGCAGCAAGGAGCTCGCCAATGTTCTACAAACAGAACTGCAAAACATTTGGCCTTTCTTTGGTTATGTGAGTGTATGACATACAATTTCAAAGGCTTCCGTTTCGGGGTATGACTAGAGGAAGCTATTTATTAGTTGTAACAATGTCTGGCCCACAGTACTCAGTGAAAATGTACTGAATGAATGGCTGTAAGAGTTTGATATTTATAACTAAAACCGGCACTTAGGTTGACTGAGGAATCTTAATGTCCAACTAAGATATCTGGCCACATGGCAAAGCTGGTACTATTGATGTGCAAAGGCAAACAGTTGAAATTTCTGTAGTTTTCCTGAATGCCACTGGGTTTTCAGTTTATTACTATGTTGTCTTAAATTGTTCATGATTTTCACTGGGCGTGGTGGCTCACGCCTGTGAGCACTTTGGGAGGTCAAGGCGGGCAGAACACGAGGTCAGGAATTTGAGGCCAGCCTGGCCAACATGGTGAAACCCCATCTCTACTAAAGATACAGAAAATTGGCCAGGCATGGTGGCACGTGCCTGTAATCTTAGCTACTTGGGAGGCTGAGGCAGAGGAATCACTTGAACCCGGGAGGCAGAGGTTGCAGTGAGCCAAGATCGCGCTATTGCACTCCAGCTTGGGTGACAGGGTGAGACGCCATCTTAAAAAAAAAAAAAAAAAGGAACCATGATCCCAAGCATTAACTGGGCATTACTGCATGCCAGGTATCTTGCTTCAGTGATTTGCATACATTATCTCATTGGAACCTCACAGCAACCCTATGCCAACATCACCTCCATTAATCATATTTTACAAAAGAGGAAACTGATGCTGTAACTTACCCAAAGTCATTGCCAGGATTAAAAAAAAATGTTTTTTGAGACGGGCTCTCACCGCATTGCTCAGGCTAGTCTCAAACTCCTGGGATTAAGGCGAGAGCTTCCACGCCCTACTCATTGGTAGGATTTGAAGCTGGGGAGTCCGACCAGTCACTGATTGGTCAGCCCAATCATCGATCTTGATACTCATGCCCAAACATTTTAGTCTGTGGTAGGTTATGGGATGGTTGTTATGAGTAGTATTTTTTTTTTTTCCCGAAACAAAGTGTCGCTCTGACTGCAGGCTGGAGTGCAGTGGTACAATCTTGGTTCACTGCAATCTCGGCATCCCGGGTTCAAGCGATTCCCCTGCCTCAGCCTGCTGAGTAATTGGGACTACACGTACGCACCATCATGCCCAGCTAATTTTTTGTATTTTAGTAGAGACAGGGTTTCACCATGTCGGCCAAGATGGTCTCAATCTTCTGACCTCATGACCCTCCCACCTTTGCCTCCCAAAGTGTTGGGATTACAGGAGTGAGCCACACATCTGGCCCTATCAGCAGTATTTTTGACCCAGTTAACATCTAGATTTTAAAACACTGGGAAGAGTGAGTTTCAAGTAAGAATCTCCAAACAGGGTAACTTTTATTGCTAAAGCAGATGGAAACCTAATTCCCTCTCCCCATACTATCTGTATGACGGCAGCTGTTTGAGAATAACCGACCTGCAAATCTGTGCTATTTAAATCATTTGCAATGTTCTAGGTTACTGTAAGAAAAAGGTGATCTGTAAGTTTCTAGGTTTCCGGCTGCCTGTATATAAGCAGGTATTTCTCTTTTATATGTTACTGGTAACACACTGGGCAAATTTTTGCCCTTTCTTTGCTTATTCCCTGCAAAGTAAGACTGATATGGGTGGTGCACAGGCCCCAGTGAGAAGGCCTTATCTGGATGGACATGCCCTTGAGAGCCACCTGACCCTGACCCCTGGGTGGGTGGGGAGGGGGTAGGAGGTCCTGCTATTGGGCCCCAGCCATCACCTTGCAGGGTGACCTCTAGGAAGTAATGGGCATACTCCTTGAGGCACTCTTTGGTCTTGCGAGGGCAGGTGGTGGGCCAGGTGTGGCAGTGGTGGTCCTTCTGGCTGACAGAGGCCAAGAGGTAGTAGTCCAGGAAGTGGGCAGGTGTGGGCAGGCAGAGGTTCCAGCTGAAGGCCTCCAGGAGCAGCAGCTCTGTGCTCAGCAGCTCCTTCTTGGTGAGGGCGAAGTTCTGGCTGCTCAGGATCCTCGTGCTGTTTATCTGCTCCAACTTGGGGACGTGGTCTTCCCGATCCTCGAACTTACCTGTGGGGAAGCAGGGGAAGCAGAGGTTACTGGAAGACATTTACCTGCATTCAGGAAGCTAACAGCCCACCTTACAGTGCCTGGACAGTGCTGGCAGAGAAGACAGAAAGCAGACAGGCCGTACTGCAAAGGGATAAGAGCACACATTCCAGATTTGTCAAACCTAGGCTTGAATCTCTAAGCCATCACTTCCCGCTGTGGGATCATGACTAGGTGTCTCAACCTCTCTGTGACTCAGCTTCCTTATCTGTAAGATGGAACCTATACTTCATTAGGCTTTTCTTAGATTCAATGGGAAAATGCACACCAAATGCTCAAACCAACCACTGGAACAGAGGAGGCAGGAGACAGTGGTCAGGAGCAGCATCCAGGGTCTGGGGAATATAGTCCCCTCCCTACTCCCCAACCGGCCCTCACTAATCCAACCTCCTGCCTAGAGTCAGCATGACTGCACAAACCTGGCTCTGTCCCTCCACATATAGAAAAAGCCCTTCTATGGCTTCCCACTATCCTTGGTATTGAGTTCAAACTGTGTAAATGGGGTCTTAGTTTGGGTCCCCTCTGATTTCCAGGGCTTGAAAGGTAAGCCCAGGGAAGATCAGTAGGTGAGGGAAGAGAACAGAAAGGGAAGAAAGCCCAAAAGGACACATACGCTAGTCACCACTGTGGACAATCAGAGCTTAATCCTACTGAGGATTTCTGAGAAATAGCCTAACACAGGCCTCAGGTTACCCTACCCAGGGGTCAAAGAACAGAGACATTTGCATAGCAACCCCTGTAGTCATCAGTGTGGATGCTCCCGGGGAAAAAAGGAGCTCCTTGTGCACTGAGAGTCAAGAGTCAGGGGCTGGGGGGGCATGACAGCTTCCACTGTGTGAAGTGCTGCAGAGTGTGGGCCTCTCCAGCCTCAGTGATCCTCACTCTTGGGCCCAGATGGTGGCTCACGTCTGTAATCCCAGCACTTTGGGAGGCCGAGGTGGGCAGATCACACAAGGTCAAGAGATCGAGACCATCCTGGTAAACCCCCGTCTCTATTAAAAATACAAAAAATTAGCTGGGCGTGGTGGCAGGCACCTGTAGTCCCAGCTACTTAGGAGGCTGAGGCAGGAGAATCACTTGAACCCGGGAGACGGAGGTTGCAGTGAGCCAAGATCATGCCACTGCACTCCAGCCTGGCAACAGAGCAAGACTCGGTCTCAAAAAAAAAAAAGTTACTCACTCTGGGGAAACCACCCCACAGGTGGCCATGGACCCCATCCCTGGCAGTTCTTGCCTATAAGGCTTCATTTACGCAGCCCCCGCCCCTGCCTGGAGAACACTTCCCTATCCGCTCCTTACTCAGCCAACCCTGACATGTCTTTCAACTCGAATCCCCACCTCTCAGAAGCTGTCTTCCACACCAGCCTCCTGTACTGTATGACTCCCACATCAGGTGATGAGGCCTTCAAGGGCCTGGCCTCAGTCTGATCACCTGTGACCCCACACCAGCCTCATAGGGTGTGGAGCTGCCACTGAATAAATGCCAAAAGAGGCAGTGGGGTGGCCCAGCTGACCTCAAAGCACACATTGGTGATCACGAAGGGAAGGGCAAATAACATGCACACACCTGCTCCCAGCTACAAGTGCCTCTGACCCAGTTCCCATCAGCCTCTCATGCTGCTTCGGGGAGATAAGGAAGTAACCACCACAGGCTGCTCCACAGTAGATACAACACATTCCCGAGGACGACTCAAAAGACGTCACTGCAGAATGAATCACCGCGTCTCGGCAGGCCAGGGTCGTTCCCTTCTCTGCAAGATTTTTGGCAGCCCACTCAGTGGTAATGATGACCCGACACAAAGCTCTGGTCTTTGATGTGGAGGAGTGGAGTGAGTGGAAACGTGCAAGACAGTGAAAGGCAGACACACCACCAGCCTCGCACCATGCAGCTTATAGCAAGCCCACATTCCATCCCGTTCCGGAGCCCAGTCGCTCAGCGTACAATGGTGTTGTGTCTGAAGTACACACCTTCTTGTCTTGAACACAAGGCAGGCCACTGTGAGGTCAAAGCTGCCAAAACAGGAAGAGCCTCCTGCATGGCTGGAAATCCCAGGGTTGAGGCTCTGGCCGACCGGCTCTGTTGGCTTCTGCAGCCCCCTGACACAGCACTGCCTCTCCAAGCCCAGAATCCAGCCACGTGGCACTCAGACCCCTCCTCTGGCTGTGAGTGCTCTCCCCCTCACCCACCCCCAACTTATCTGTGTCCTTCAGAGCTCAGTTTAGAGACCCCCAGACATCAAAGGGACTTCCCACTCTCAGATTACTTGCTTAACATCAAGTAATAATATTAATGGCTGGCATCTGACTCCAAGCCTCGTAAAAATAGGAACTGAGTCCGACCCATTTGCTGCTCTGCCACCAGTTCCCAACACATGCCTGGCACATAAGTGGTGCCCAATAAATATTTGTTAAAATGAATGAATAGTCCTCCCAGGAAAGAGAAATTTTAGGCCGTTTGAATTTTTCTCTGACGATCTTGTATTCCTCGGTTTTTTCCTCCAATGATCATGTATTCTTTGTGCAGTTTTAAAAAGGAAGAATTTTATTGATTTTTTATTTTTTGCAAAGTTGCCCTAGTTTCCATGAATCTTGTGCTGAGCCAGCCTTGGTCGCATGCATTCAATAGATATCTCTTTCCCACCAAGAGCAGGAGGTGGCAAGGTAAGGGTACACTGTATTGGGGTGGCACTAAGACCCTTCGCATGGCACTGCTGCCAGCCAGCAATCTCTTACAACTGGCAGATGTGCTCAATCAGATTAGTTTTCTCCTCCCCTCCCTGCTTTTCAAACCTTTCAGAGCTCTGCTACCAGGCCCAGGAGGATTATCTTCCATTGGAAGGCGCCAAGGATTACTGCAGAATCTGACTTCACCTGCTCCCTCCGCCTCCTGGGGACCCACCACACGCCAGGCCAGAGCCAGGCAGAGCTGGGTCTGAGTCCTCAGGAGTTTGCTTTAGACCTACGAGCACTAAACTCCACAGGCTGTTTGTCTGTGATGTAGGACCGTGTCCCACATGGAGATAAAATGGTGCTGCAGAACGGAAAGTGCTTCATAAGCCCCCAGCACACAGAATGGGCTGTGCTTCCAGCTGGACATGCGCTGGCTCCTCACAGGAACCTTCTAGGTAGGTGCTTTACAGTCCTCAGAGGTTCAGAGAAAAAGCTGATGGGAGAACTCAGCTTCTATACCCAGAAGCCGACTTCAGAGCCCTTGCTTTAATTGCTGGCCAGGCCAAGCCCAGCTTAGCGACTACTGCCCAGCACAATACCTTTCGCAGCCAGAAAAGATTTTATGAGTTTCCTGATGCTGCACGTGCCTGGCAGACATGTCTTCCCCTCCTCCCAGGACTGTGAGTGGGGCTGACCCCTGACCCCCAGTGCTGCCACCACCAAGCACCCGTTACTCAGCTACTTCCTCCTTATTGACAAACTGCACAGGCAACAGATGCCTAGAAGACTTCAGGCAGGTCCCCTGGGAGAGGCTGGGAACAGAAGTCTGAGTCTTTTTTTCCAAGCCAGACAATAGCCACAGATTCTCCGACTCCTTTGATGCATTTTTGATTTTGGAAATTTTCAAATCCAGAGAAAAGGTGAAAGAGAACGATGAACACATATTACCCTTCACCAGATCCTGCCCTTGCTGACCCAGATCCGTGTGTGCTCTGGCTGGGTGTCTTCTGCCTATAAATACTGGTTTTGTTGGATCATTTCTAGTGAAGTAGCAGATGTGACATGCTACCCCCGAACACTTCACATCCGTTCCTGAGGTCATTTTCCTACAAACCGTAATGCTATTTGCATTTCTAAGACATCAACATTAATGCAATGATATTTTCTTTTTCTTTTATTTTTTTTTTAAGCCTTGGAAAATTAAAGCAATTGCAACGACATTTTCTAATACTCAGTCCACATCTGACTTTCTCCAGGCGTCCTAAAAATGCCTTTTATAACCTTTGCTTTGTGTTTTTGGATGCGGGATCCAAACCAGGTTTACACACGGAGTCTATTACTGCTGAGGCCCCGTGTTCTGTTTGTTTTTCATGACACCGATTGGGAGAATCGAGGCCAGTTGTCTGGTAAAATGCTCCACATTCTGGATCCGCCTGATTGTTTCCTCACAATTAGATGCAGGTCAAATAGTACGGGCAAGAAACTACAGAGGCTGTTCTGTCCTCCTCACCCACTGGACCACAGCAGGAGTCCTTGGCAAATTCACTGTGTCCCAGCCTACGTTACATCATTTGATTAAGGTGGTGACACAGGCTGCTCCAGTTCAAGGTACCAGCTTCCCTGTGAGATTAACAAGTAATCTGTGAGGGGGCACTTGGTGAATATCCAATTTCTCAACAACCTTTAGCTCAATGGCTTTGCAGCCATGGATGATCCTTTCCTGAAAAACTATTATAATGGGGGTTGAAAAGGAAGTTTTAAAAATCCTATCATTCCATCTACATTTTTCTTTTTTTAAATTTTAATTAATTAATTAATTTTTGTTTTTCTTTTTTTTTGTTATTATTTCATTTTTCTTTTTTGATGTTCATATTGTCCTAAATTGGAGCAGCAGGAGCCCTATCAACCTCCTTTTTTAAAAAAAGTTTTTCAATTTAAAAATTTTTTTCTTTTTCTTTTTTAAAGACACAGTTTCACCATGTTGGCCAGGCTGGTCTTGAACACCTGACCTCAGGTGATCCGCCCGCCTCAGCCTCCCAAAGTGCTGAGATTACAGGTGTGGGACCACAGGGTCTCACTCCTATGGCACAGGCTGGAGTGCAGTGGCTCAATCTCGGCTCATAGCATTTTCAACTTCCTGGCGTCAGGCGACCTTCCTACCTCAGCCTCCTGAGTAACCAGGAATACAGGTGCACGCCACCATGCCTAGCTAGTTTTTGTGTTTTTATTAAAGCCCAGGCTGGCTGAACTACTGGGCTCGGGTGATCTGCTGGCCTCAGCCTCCCAAAGTG